CCATGGTGTCCAGGAGTGTGATTTATTGAACCACCTCCCACTGGCAGACCAGGCTGTCAGCAGTCTTCCAACACCAACAGCAACACTGCAGTGAATTCACAGAGTTTAAACAATCGAGGGAAACGTAAAAAACAGCCAAGGCATTTCCTTCTGAATGTTTCCCAGTAATTTCTTTCTCCTGCCGCTGTTTCTTCCTTCTGATTTTTATTTTCCTAAGAGCCAAGTCTTGATGCTTTATTGCAGTCTGTGCACTGTTCAGGGTCATTCTGGCAGTTGGAATTACACAATAAAATAGACAAATGTACATTTGTGGAAGTCCTGAACGCAGCAGCAGCAGCAGCAGCAAACCTCTCGTTCGTCTCCCCCCTCCTGCAGCCCCGAGTGCTGCGACAGCAGGCTGGTAGGACTTTGCAAGCTCAACATGCAGTGACACAATCAGAGGCAGGAGGCTAAGAAGCAGAGGCTGCGACAGTGAGGCCAGTCTAGCCAGGGCTACTGACACCATGGAAGGCACTCGGGAGTTTCTTCCTCAATGCTCTACAGCTTTCAAATATCCACTGGCATATATACTGTAAGGAATTGAAAGCAAGGACTCCACGTGACATAGGTACACCCATGTTCGAGGCAGCATTATTCACAATAGCCAAAGGAGCAAGCACCCCAGTGTTCACAAACAAACTGTGGTCTATAAATACAATGGAATGTTATTCACCCTTAAAAAGAAAGGAAGTTCTGGTAAATTCTACACTATGGATGAGCCCTGAGGGCATGGTGCTAAATGAAAGAAGCCAGCCACGGGACAAATACCCCACAACCTGCAAACACCTAGGCCGCTGAAGCAGACACTCAGCCTCTCTTTTTTGTCTCAGCTACAGAACACCTGGCCAAAGCCCAAGCCAGGAGGACAGGAAGTGGCAGCGACCCGCCCGGAAGGCCTGGGTCTTCCCGAACCCAAGTGCTCAGGGTGAAGGAAGAGCAACAACGCTGGTAACCAGCTGACGTTTGGAGTCCTTATTATGCGCCCAGCACTGTCACATGCACTGTGAGATGGAGGAATTTCATGACAGGAAACTGACCAACAACAACTCTTTCCTGAGACTTCGGGAGTGCGGGGGAGGGGGGATGGGCGGGCGATCTTCGCAAGGACTCACAGCTGAGAGCTGGGCCACAAACGCAACCAGATGTGCAGCAGGGCTCGTGACTATGCGACCCGGTTTTGGTAGGCTCAGGGCAGTGCAGAGCCTGCAGAGGTGAAATGCCAGAATAAGACTGATGACCTGCTGAGAGTACAGAAATACCAAGGAGACGAGCAGCTGACAGTCGCCAATGCTTCACAGGGAAACGGGCAACATGGGATCACCGTGACGGCACCTCTGCTCGCAAAGGAGCCAAGTCCTCTTCGCTCCCTTCGAGGACCCCGTCCTGGGGCCCCGACTCACACTCAGCCCGAATACCAGCTACTAGGTTACAATGAGAACTGCAACTTGAAAGAAAACCAACATTCAGTACCTGTAGTTCAATCACCCTCTTCTCAGGTGGCAAAATCTGCCTGGGAAACCACCGGAATGTTGATGGGTAAACACTATGGTACAGCTCTAAGTGTATCAAGTCGTCAACACCTAAAACAGTGGTAATCTAAAGACCAATCACCCTGGGGTTCTGGGACAGGGCTGACGGCAGTACATACTCTACCGATACTCAGAACACGGGCCGTGAGGTACTACTGCGAATAAGTGATCTTCTTGCCAGCAGAGGTAGCGACTCTCGGCTTCCTCATTTTCAAGGCTCAATGCAGACCAACCTTTCCAATAACATACCTACCTCAAAACTCAATAAAATGTGTTAGTTTCCACTTATTGTAATCACACTCTGGTTTTGAGATCAAGAAATGCACAGTGTGGGGGAGGTAGCAGAGGGTATGGGGGGGGGGAGATAAATGGTAATGGGAAAAAATTTAGTGTTTTTTTAAAAAGAAAGAAAAAGAGACATACACAGAGGTCTGTCATGCTCGGACAGCAGTTTCCTCTCGTTCCATACCATGTTAACAAACGCGACCCAGGTCACCATCCTCATCTGCTTTAGGATGACTTTCTGACAAGTTTAGTGCTTGTCCCAAACCGTTCCTATGAAATCAGAATAACTGCAGACTTGATTTCCTCCTGAGAAAAAGAAGGGCACTGATCTAGATCAGGGACTGGTTCCTGGGGAAAAAGGGGGAGGGTGTCAAGCTTTACTCAGCAGCTATACTCTCATCTAGTTTATATGATAAATTTGATGAGTTTTCATTTGAAAAAAGGTTTTCCTGCCTTTTAAAAGTTGGCAAACCACTGATCTATATCATCTTCCAAGGTCTTGTCCAAGTGTTAAAATTATGTTTTTTATTTTTTAAATTCTTTTATTCAACGAATATTTGGAAAGTGAGTTACTAGGTGACAATAGGCATGGTAGGCATGGTGATGACAATAGTGAACCATATGCTAATAAGTGGAGACTGCCCTCTGGGAACGCACTGTTTATTTGGTTTTTGTAAGAGGTTGAAGAGTGATAAGAATAGCACAGGCATTCAGCCAGCGTGGCTCAGTGGTTGGACATCAACCTAAGAACCAGGAGGTCACAGTTCGTTTCAGGCCAGGGCACATACCGGGATTGGGGACTTGATCCACAGCAGGGGGTGTGCAGGAGGCAAGCTGATCAGTTTCTCATCATTGATGTTTCTCTCTCTCCCTCACCCTTCCTCTCTGAAATCACTAACAATATATTAAATATCACAGGAGGAGCACGTTTTTTGGAGTTAAAATAAAATCACAGGGTTCCTGAACCTGGGCGGGAACACATTTCTTCCAGAATTGTGCCCAGTACTCCTCCTCTGCCCAATATTTAGAAGACACAGGCTGAATAACGCAGACAAAACCGGTTGTAAATTGCAAAATCACATTAGAATTTATTACAATATACATAAATAATCCTCATTTTTCTGAATTTCATCAGCCTTGGGAAATCAAGGGAAAACAAGTTAAAAGGAGCAGCACTGGCCTGGAGAAGTGAAGACAGAGGAGCCAGGGAAGCTGGGCTCCAGCCCAGGCCTATACTCGCCGTCTGCAGACGGCACTGAGTGCCAAGTCCTCAGCTACACACAAGGTGCTTGGAATAGACGTTGTGTGGGGTCCACTGCAGCTCTACAATTCTACTGTCCTAATTCTATTATTAGGAGCAAATGCTATGCATTAATAATATATAGCACGTACTCACAACGAAAAGTAAATAAATGCCAAATTTTAAGGAAGGTAAGAGAAATACAGAAGTTTGATACTTTAAAAAGATGCATTGATGTCACTGTTTTATTCACACTAATTAGAATATATACACAAAAATGTGTATCACATGTTGCTTCTAAAAAATTCTATGTTCCATGAGAACGATGTAAACAGTGTAAAATGTTTCTACTACATAACAAAAGGAGAAAAATCAGTATCTCCATGTAGTATTAGGAAAAGAGTTAAGATAATCTAAAGTTATAGTAAAACAAAATGTAATATTACAGAACAGTCTTTTCATGAAGTTGATTTATGGTCTAGAAACAATACATTTCATATTTTCAAACACTTTGGTATAAATGAAATTAATTAATACAAAGCAAATAAAATAAAAAATCAAAAATCCTCTGGTCTGGTTCTCACATTACCTGGAGCTTCAGGACAGGGTGACTGCACAGCACCCTGTACACACACACCCCCACCCACCCCCACCCCACCCCACCCGACCCCCAGGAAACGACATGCTGGGCTGGGAGAGCCTCAGAGGACGGCCTCGCAGTCAGTCAGGCGCTGCCCTTCCTCCCACAGCCATCCCTCCGCAGCTTTATCAAAACCTCAGATTCTACTTGGAATATAAGTGGCTGTGGTCAGTGCTTCTTAACAAATACAGTGACGCTGCATTAAAGCAGTTCAGAACAATTCACATTTAAAGTAGAACACAAGGTTTTTTAACTCATACTACTATAGTCTCAAGCAGTCCATACTTGAATAAAAGAACATACTACATTTAAAAAACACAAGTCTAACAGCCCGCTGCAACAGGTTTTTAAGAAACAGAAACAACCGTCTGCATGCTGTATTTCTTCATTGACATCACACACTACTTTGACAACTGAACTGAGGCATTTTTAACTGCATCATTTCAATGATTTCATTTTTCATCTATACTGTCCAAATGTGGTACTATTTCCATTGTCTTTTTGTTCTGTATGTTTTCTTCTAAATGAATCCCTACATCTGAGAATTGTATCTGAGCAACTGTCAACTCACCACTTTGTCTGTCAATCCATCCCAGGAATAAATGGGAATGTCCTCTGAGAATTTTCTCAGCAATGTAATTTATATGGTGACTTTCTGGAAAGACAAGAGTCTTTAAAAGAAAAAGGAATCCTTGGTGAACCTCACAAGCTTACAGTAACAATACAGTCATGCACTGTTGTTCCTTTCGGGACCCAAAGAACACACTGTGAGGGGCCTGCAAAAAGCAAGCCTGTGAGCACATCCTCAGACAGACTGGCCACCAGAGGGAGGGACAGGAGTCAGCCAGGGACATTCTGTGAGGTTCATAGCAGGCGACCTTCATATCATGGTGAGTATAGAGAGTAAAAGGAAGTTTCTGACAGGTTAATCTGGGGCTTAAGAATAATTCTAGAAAGGAAAAAATGAGGTAAACATAAAAGAATTCAGCAAAATTGATCTCTCCTTGAATGAACCATGTATGTTGAATTGTTAATATTTTAAATTAATTACTTCATAGTATTAGTTCAGTATTAGGAACTTAAGTTCTTGCCTCAATTTTACAACCAAGTAGAAGAAGAAATAAAACAATGAACAATGAACAAATTAAGTGTGAAATGAAAGGGTCTTACTTTTTCATATTAGGTGATATTAAAATCCTAGGGCTATATTGTTTGAGTTTTGTTCGTTTAGTGAAGAGAGACTAATGGGGAACTTAAATAATTTCAAAATTTATTTGGAATCATTGCCAAGACTATGGCATACTAATAACTTGCACTGCCAGACAGTAAAAACTATAAAGTTATAATAAAACACCATATTTCAATGAATCTAATACACCATTATTTTACGCACCATGCAAATAAAAGATGCCCAGGATACGAACCTAAAAGGAGACAGAGACCTGCACAAAAAGTGAGTACGCCAAATGGCTACAGCCTCAGGGAAGGGTGAAAAAATAACTATTCCCGCAGAAGGGATGGCAGAGAAGTCTGCACATCTCTTCCTTGACAATGGGGAGGGAGGGAGGCGGGGGATACCTTGGTGGCTGAACTAGTCCACCCACCCTGTCCTGCCTGCAAATGTTGTGTCTGAATTCACAGTCCCAGCGCAGCCCAAGAAACTCTCAGAGAAATTCGCTTCAGAAGGCGCAGGGTGGTAGTGTCCCCAATGATCGGCCAAAACATGCAAACCATGTCCAGAAGAACTCAACTTCCCTCCAGGCAACAGCTGTTTGTAAGATGCATTCCAAATTTAAAGACGCTGAAATGTGAAAAATATAAAATTTGAAGTCAGTGAAATATGGTAAACAGATAAATAAGTCAATAGAAGAGATGCAGAAAGCCTAGAAAACAAATGTTGGGCATATAAAATATATATATATAAAATAAGAATCTTAAAAGATTGGCCTACGTATTTTAAAACCATGCTCTCCATCCACAACCCCCCAAAATACCCAAAGCATAAGCAAAAATAAATTACAAATGTGCAATGGCAAAAGGTTATTACTGTTAAATATCATAATTATTAATCAATAAGAAATAAAAATACCCTACCCCGCACCTCCAGAACAATAAGTAAAGGTCAAGAATAGGCAATTGACAAAAGAATAAATACAAGCAGCCAAATAAATACAAAAAATTTCAATTTCACTAGTAATAAAAATGTAAGGTAAAGCAATAACATAACAATTTCTGACTATCAAATTGGCAAAAAACATTTTTAAAAATATTTTTTATTGATTTTTTACAGAGAGGAGGAGAGAAGGACAGAGAGTTAAAAACATCGATGAGAGAGAAACACTGATCAGCTGCCTCCTGCACACCCCCTACTGGGGATGTGCCTGCAACTAAGGTACATGCCTTTGACCGGAATCAAACCTGGGACCCTTCAGTCTGCAGGCCGACGCTCTATCCCAGTGATGGCGAACCTATGACACGCGTCGTGTCAGAGGTGACATGCGAACTAATTTTTTTGGTTGATTTTTCTTTGTTAAATGGCATTTAAATATATAAAATAAGTATCAAAAATATAAATCTTTGTTTTACTATGGTTGCAAATATCAAAAAATTTCTATATGTGACACGGCACCAGAGTTAAGTTAGGGTTTTTCAAAATGCTGACACGCCGAGCTCAAAAGGTTCGCCATCACTGCTCTATCCACTGAGCCAAGCCTGTTAGGGCAAATTGGCAAAATTTTTAAAAACAATTCTACCCAGTGTTAGCAAGGGTGCAGGAAAACCAGCACATGTATTGGTGGTAGATATGAAAATTGAGGCAACCTTTCTGAAATGTAATTTAGCAATAATTATAGATCCAAAACCTTTTAAAATGTGCAACATACTTAGATCTAACAATGCTGTTTCTATGGAATTTATCCCAAGCAAACAGTCAGAAATGTGCAAAAAGGATGTACAACTACATGTCAGAATTATTTATAATAGTGAAAACAGAAAAATCACCTAAACACCCAACAATGCATTTTAATAAAGAAATCTATAAAATGGAATACAATGCAGCTCTTAAATATTATGTACCACTGAAGCACTATTTATACTAGTAAAGATTAGGATAATAAATACCTATCAGCAAGGAACATGTTATACAAATCATGGTGTAAGTTGATGGAGTACTATACTATCATGAAAAAGAATGAGGCGACTCTTTTTTTTTTTAAATATATTTTATTGATTTTTTACAGAGAGGAAGGGAGAGGGATAAAGAGTTAGAAACATCGATGAGAGAGAAACATCGATCAGCTGCCTCCTGCACACTCCTCACGGGGGATGTGCCCGCAACTAAGGGACATGCCCTTGACCGGAATCGAACCTGGGACCCTTGAGTCCACAGGCCGACGCTCTATCCACTGAGCCAAACCGGTCAGGGCTGAGGCGACTCTTAATTTCTGATACATTCCTTCTCTGCCTGAAATACCTTATTCCCACCGATATCTACCTGGCAGTTGCTTAAATGATACTTTATCATTTAGAGTCTCCCTTGCCATCTTACACACAAACACAAAGGCACTGCCTCTTGCCTTCATCCTACTGCTCTAGTCCAGCCCATCTGACACACTCCAACTGTGTGTTCGCTGTCTATCCCCGCAGCGGGCATAGACTCTGTGTGGTCCACTGCTGTGAGCCCCAGTGCCTACAACAGCACTGGGCACTTGATAGAGCATTCATCAAATCCAGGATTAATGCATGGTGAGTGGATGGATGGATATGGAAACATATCAAAGATACAAAGGTAATAACAGTCTATCTATGTACCTGTCATATGTCTTTTAAAAAGGAAAAAAAATCACATGTAACACATACTTATGACACAGATTCTGGGAAGGGAACTGGGGAAGAGACAGGGAGGGAAATACTTCACTTCTGTCACTTAAAAGCTGAACTTGCCCTAGCCGGTTCTTTTCAGTGGTTAGAGTGTCAGTCCGTGGACCGAAGGGTCGCAGGTTGATTCCAGGTTAAGGGCAGGCTCAATCCCTGGCCCAGGTCATGGCACCTGCAGGAGGCAACCAATTCATCCATCTCTCTCTCTCTCTCCCATCGATGTTTCTCTCTCTTTCTCTTTCCCCCTCCTCCCTCCCTCCCTTCCACTCTCTCTAAAAGTCAGTGGAAAAATATCCTTGGGTCAGGATTAAAAAATAATAATAATTAAAAATAAGTAAATAAAAGCTGAACCTACTCTAAGTATAACCCATTCAGAAAAACCAATAAAAATTATAAATACACTCGCACATACACATCGTAGGCTGATGTGGGAAAATGACACAATATATTTTTAAGTGGGAAAAAAAACAGGCAACAAAATAACAAATAATATGAAATACATGAGACTCAGGAAAGCTTAGGAGGATTAACTTCTAACATTTGTAACTGGCAAGATTATAGGTGATTTCTGCTGCTGCTTATTTTTTTTCTGTATTTTCGAAGGTTTCTTTATGAGGTACTATTATTTAGTACTTTTTTAAGCTGCTTCTAAGTACACAGCATTTGCTTAGCAGAGTGTAACAGCACCCACACTGGATCCTATGGTCTGGTGATGCACCACCCTGTCTTGGCGATCCCCACTTTGAACCTAGGGTACTCCTCTCTCCTCTGATTCTGTGATTTCTTCCTGACACTGGCCTCTCACTTTTTTCATTTTCCATCACCTCCTTCAGCTCCCTGTCTTTCTCTTCCTGTATTACTTACCCAGCAAAACTCTAATCCTAGTAAAACCAAACATCTGCTTATCCAAGTGGTGGTCAGAAAAAAGTCAGGCAATTGTGTTCACTGTACTCACTTCAAATTATTGACCAAAATATCAAATGAGCATTCACTTCACGCCTGCAATACAATCGTACCACACTTTGCTAGTAAATTCCTTTTCCCCACACTCTGAAATGAGTACCTTTCTGCTCTTCTCTCCTCAGGTCTCCCATAAGCCCTGGACTGATGACCTTCCTCTCCCACCCTTCCAAAATGAAGCTGAAGTAACCAGGGAACCTCCTCTTCCCACCACCAATGTCACTTCCCCATCCCTATCTGTGCCCATGGACTGGCTTCCACCGTCACCACATAAAGATGTAACCCTGCTCCTTTTCTAAGGTTAAACCCTGCAGGTTGCCCTGGCCCCACCCCCCATGCCTTTTCAAGTACTTTCTCCATCCCCGTTTGCCCTTGCATTATCAACCTCATCCTCAACACCCAATCACTACCACTAGTAAACAAACACACCTTAACATCATAAAACTTCCCCATCTTATTTCTGTCACCCTTCACAGCACAGCTCTGTCCTCCCTGACCTTTCACCTCTCCACAATCCACCTCCTTCTGCCATGACACGAGGATGGATGTCCAAGCCCTCCTCAAGGCAGCGGCAAATTCCTGGCCCTCCTCTTCCTTGACCTCTCAACAGCATCTGACATGACCAACCACTCCCTCTTTTTATTTTTTTATTGCTTAAAGTATTACAAAGGGTATTACATATGTGTCCTTTTTTTTACCCCCCGCCCTTGACAATCCCCTGGCCTCCCAACCACTCCCTCTTGGAAGCAATCTCCTCTCAGCGGCCCCGAGATCACAAACCCCTGGATTTTCTGTCACTTCATTGGCTCCTCCTTCTCCACAGACTCCCCTTCTCTTCTCTGCCTACACTCTTCTCTATTCTTTCGGGGTGATCTCACCCAGTCTGTGGCTTTAAAACGCAAGTATATTCTGAGGATTCTAAAGTTATTCTTTTTAGCTCTGTGCTTCAGACCAACTACTGACTTGATAAAGCAGAACTACTGATTTCTCATCCCCCACACACACCCCAAAAGCCTACTCACTCCATAAGCTCCCCCAGGAAAAGTAGCACCATCACCCAGTTGGTCACATCAAAATCCCGAAAAGTCATCCTTAGCTCCTCCTTCCCTCATACTCCACAATGAATTCGTCAGCAAGTCCTAAACAACTCACCTCCAAACCAGACTGGAGTTCAATCATCTTTGACCATCCCCACCACTAGACTCCTAGTCAGAGTCTCCCTTCCTTTGCTCAACAGCCTACCCTTCAACCAGTACCCACAGCATCTCTCTAAAGGATAAACCAAATCATGTCCCTCAATGACTCATCACACTTAGAGTGAAAGCAAGTCCTTACAGGTCCCTCATCGTTAGGCCCACGACTTCTCTGACGCACCTGCCTCCACTCTCCCCTTAACTCTCTCACCCTCTGGCTAGTCTGGCCGCTTTCTGTCCCTCAAACGTG